TAAATCAAACAATCAAATCAAGGCTGATTTTTAAAGATGGAGTTTTATTCATGGTTGCAAAATACAGTACCATGAAAAAAAATTTGTGATTACATACAATTATTCTGGAAAAAGAACAGCATTTAGAGATTCAACAGAAACTGGAAATGAAGGTGTTCTAATAAAATCATCTCATGTGTATTGTTAAGAATAAATCGGCTGAAAAGATCACCAGAAAGGTGAAGAACACAAGCCAGAAGCTCAGAATGCCATGCAGTCCTTCAGCAAACTCAAACTGCACTGCCGGCTTCACATCGGTCCAGAACTCATATCTGTACAAGCCATTAAACATTAAAGATCAGGTTAGTATTTCACTCCTCTCTGCCTTTGTATACCTGTTAAACTCAACAGCACTTTCTTACAATCATGTTAAAGAGAACTGATCAAACTGCACAGGTTCGTCAACGACCGATGAAGCTATAAAGAAACGTCAAAATTCAACGCCAAATCAAAAGAATGAAAATTAAAGTGAATCCTATTTTGAAATCCAAATTTAAATTAAATCAATTTTATCAAATAACAATTTTATCCCCATACTTTCTCATTACGATGAAAAAAATAAAATAAAATTATTATATATATATTTTTTCTCATTACTGCAATTCCAAAAAAAAAAAAAAGTGTATATTTGTAAGTAATCATTTTTGATTTCCAGAATTGTATTAAAGCAAAGTGGATATTCATGCATTATGGTGATGAGGATTTCAGGATAAAATGTAAAATAAGAAAAAAAAAAATTTTTAAACTCTTAAGGGTCTTAAAAATAGACTTTTTATGATTTTTTTAAATTTGGGGTGAAATATGAACCGGACAAAAAAAATAAATAAAATTTAATTACTGCAATACAGAAATAGTATATAGCATATTTGAAAGCATTTGTTGTACTTAAATGTATACGGATTATAATAAATGACCAATTTTGAATGGTTTCCATTATTTTATTATTGTAATGAGGATATTAGATTATAGATATATGCATAAAAGGTCCTATAAATAGGTTACTTCTATGCTTAATTCATGTTTTTTTCTACTAAACGTGGGCTGAAATATGAATCGGACGTTTCTTTGTGAGATTCAAGCAGAGATGCTGTATCCAGACGTCCATTTTTGAAGATTATTACTTTATTATTAATGATGGTTGAGTGAATATTTTCACAGTGTCTGTACGAAAACCAATCCAGAACACGCAAACCATCCTCATCATCAGCAGCTGTTTGAGACTTTAATAACGGAGTCTGTGATCAGCTACACGGGACGCTCAATAGTGTCATTTACAACAGCGTTTGAACGAAACTAAACAACCTACAGCTAAAAATAACTCAAAATATATATCTATATAAAAGCAAAAGCAAACATAAGTCACTCATATTACTGCAGCTAGTTTTAAAACAACCTTTACATGAGAAGAAAAGAGTTTTCTAGTACGTTTCAACAGGAGACGTGAAGATACAGATAAAGGGCGAATCTCACAAAAAGTGAATTTCATCCCAAAAAAAAAATTTTTTTTATTAATTGATTTGCATAAAGAAATTCATTTCTTAAAAATAAGAGATTTTGCATGTCGTCATTATTTTCATAGCAACAAAAACAATTTATTTTGCAGATAATCGGGAGGAAAATGTGCGTATTTGTTATGAAAATATCACAATAAAGGCTTCATTTTCTTTAAAGATAACAAAGAATGTCTTCATTCCTCAGACTTCAGGGCGAAATGTGCGATACACGGGTTTTGTGAGATTCACACGTTTCAAAAACTCATTCGACTTCCATCCAAAAACTCTATTATCGCAAGCACGTTTACACTCAGGCGAGATGTTATGATCATACGAGGCATTTCGCTCCAGGTGTTTATAGATGCAGCAGAGCAAAGGCTTTCATTAAACACCAGGAGGAAGTCTTTCATCAATTCATTTCCTCTAACAGTAACATCGGATACATTTGCGATACATTACGGTGGTTACTGGTTTATAAAAAAACATGCTTAACGAGCCGCACTTTAAAGTGCACTTCAGCCAGCACTTATTAAAAGAATAAAAACAATCTGAGGGTTTAATAAAAAAACAAGAACGGTATTGCCGGAGCAAAGCTTCCTCACTGGGTTTCAGACTTCTTTTTGTTTTTCTTTAGGAACGACGGGGTGCGAAACTTTTTCTTCTTCTTTGACGGGGATTTGTTGGGCGATTCGTCGCTGCCGTGATCACCAGCCTCGTCGTCCCCGGCAACAGGCTCCTCCCCCTCTGGCGGAGGGGCGGAGTCTGTCTGCTCGGGGGCGGGGTCTTCTGCAGGGAGGGCGGAGACTTCGTCGGGGGTCAGATCGGGGAGGGTCTGTCTTAAAGCGGCGGCGGCGTCACTCTCGTCTCTAAACGTCTGCTGCTGCTGGGCCTCTGCGGAGGAGGATGAGAAGAGAACGATGAGTTTGTAGATCAGCTCAAGAGTCCAGGGGGAAATCCAGCGCTCACAAGCTCGGCTCTTTATGCATGAAGCGTGAAAATCTCTGAAGCAACATATCAGAATGATTTCTGAAGATCATGTGACACTGAAGACTGGCGTAATGATGCTGAAAATACAGCTGCGCATCACAGAAATAAATTACAGTTTAACACATATTCTCATAGAAAACAGATATTTTAAATAGTAAAAATATTTCACAATATTACTGTTTTTACTGTATTTCTGAACAAATATATGCAGGCTTGGTGAGCAGAAGAGACTTTTTAAAAAACATTACCAGTCAAAAATTTTTGAACAGTAAGATTTTTTTGTGTATTTACCCCAAAAATCAAGAGTATTCTCATTACTCTCAAAATTGCAATATACTTGCATAGTACAAGTTAAATACACCATTCAAATATGGGTCTTCTGCAGGGAGGGCGGAGACTTCGTCGGGGGTCAGATCGGGGAGGGTCTGTCTTAAAGCGGCGGCGGCGTCACTCTCGTCTCTAAACGTCTGCTGCTGCTGGGCCTCTGCGGAGGAGGATGAGAAGAGAACGATGAGTTTGTAGATCAGCTCAAGAGTCCAGGGGGAAATCCAGCGCTCACAAGCTCGGCTCTTTATGCATGAAGCGTGAAAATCTCTGAAGCAACATATCAGAATGATTTCTGAAGATCATGTGACACTGAAGACTGGCGTAATGATGCTGAAAATACAGCTGCGCATCACAGAAATAAATTACAGTTTAACACATATTCTCATAGAAAACAGATATTTTAAATAGTAAAAATATTTCACAATATTACTGTTTTTACTGTATTTCTGATCAAATAAATGCAGGCTTGGTGAGCAGAAGAGACTTTTTAAAAAACATTACCAGTCAAAATTTTTGAACAGTAAGATTTTTTTGTGTATTTACCCCAAAAATCAAGAGTATTCTCATTACTCTCAAAATTGCAATATACTTGCATAGTACAAGTTAAATACACCATTCAAATATTTAAAAATGTTAGTTATGTACATCAATTAAACAATTTAATGCAATACTGATATATTTAAATAACATAATTTTCCTATATTACCCATTAATATTACTACTTGATTAATCATTTAAATTAGCCAGAGCAGAAACATAATATTCATACATTACCTGTTCTGCAATACTAGACATTAAAGATCCTTGATACTTCGTTATAGAAGTTAAAAGAGGAATAAATGAAGACGTTTCTAGGCAGAGATTTGTTGCTAGCATGATCGCACCGAACTCCAGATCGTCTTTAATTATTATATCAATCAGGTGTTTTACCTAAACAATGTATATGATTAATATATCTATAATAATGAGGTGAAGTGTCTGTGCACAATTCAGTGAATATTATTATTATATGGAAAAAGGCTTGTTTTTTTGGTAACACTTTACAGGAATCCTTTATATATAATGCATTATAAAAGTATTTTTAATGCATTATTCGAGCTTTGTAATGCATTGATTATGAAAGCACAGTACTGTTACACCTTTAGTTTAATGCAGTAAAACACGACAACCAATCAATTCCAGACGTAACAAGGAATCTGCAAATATTTGAATGCATTTTAACTTGTTACAATTGCTTATAATGCATTATAACATACATTATGAATACTGTTATAATGCTTTTTATATAAAGGCTTCAAGTGTTACCTATGAAGAAAATAATAATAAAAAAAAGTTTGTCAGTTGTAACAGCACAGAAAATAACATGAACCATTAATGTCATCGTTTAACAGGTTTACATCCAAATCCTGATAATCAGTCACATTAGAGAAGTTAAATGTTATATGGAAAAATTGCTTTTTGCATTAAAAATTGGCATAACATTTTATTAACTTCCTCCTTTAACGAACAAAGACACATTAGGCATTATGTGGCGGCTGGTGCTCAGAGACGTACCTTCCTCCGCAAGCACAGGTGAGCCGGGATCTCTCTCCTCTTCTGCCTCCTGCGTCTGACCTACAGAGAACACAAGAGCTCAGTCTGGATACAGAAACCTGCTCAAACGCACAGATCCGACATCAAAACACACTAAGCATGTAAAGAAAGTACGTGACATGCAACAAAAGTGGATAATACCAAAGCCCACATAGAGGCAGTGCACTTTAGACACTGAATGAAGGGGGAACAATCTGTGCAGTGCATGTAAACATGGTCAAATGTGTCAAACTGAGCATAAAAACTGCCAAAATATATCAGCAGATGATTCTACGCAGGTCTGATAACATCTAACTCAATCAGCATTAACTAAAACTAAAACCATTAAAAACAACAAAAAAACATGATTTGTTACTTGAGAAACAAATATAATATATAGAAAAAAAATATTTTAAACATTTTATTTCAGTTAGTTGCCAACATTTCTCTTTTTTTCCAAGTTTACATACTAAATTAAAATAAATTAGAAATAAAAATTAATAAAAAAATATATATATGTATATATATATATATATATATATATATATATATATACACACTAAAAAAAAAAAAAAAAAAAAA